GAACTTTAAATGTGGTTTTATTAATGTTTATATTTTTGTTTATATTGAAAAGCATTTTCCTAAAAGAATCTAAGTTTAATTTTTCTGAAGTCAAGTATAATTATTTTAAATTAAATCAGGGAAAATTGGTAGTGAATCAGTGAAATATTAGGAATAAATCAGGGAAATCTACCTTAAAATATTGGCAGACACCCTTTTTTTTATAAATATTATTTTGTCTTGGTCTTTTATATTTGTGCTTATCAAAATAATTTTGTAGAGCAGTCTATTCTCTACAAAATTATTTTGATAATAATTTTGTAATAATATTCAATTATCTTTTACAAGATAATTGAATATGTAACTAATTATACTTTTATCAGATATTATTTTAGGAATTATTTTTATTTAGGTGTTGTTACATGTACTTTTTATTTAGGTGTTATCAGATATAATTTTTATTTAGGTGTTGTTAGATATCGCTAACTCAATGTTAAACTTAGTTTTATATGATCATGATGTTTTAATGAATGTCGGGCTTGTTAAGTAAGTTTTTCAATTTTTTGATGAGTTCATTGTGTTAATCTTGCATCCAATACCTTAGTAGAGTTCTACCTCCTCATTGATAAATTGATTTATACTTAGATTTTTGTTGGAAGCTATGCCATTAATCAATTGGTCAGAGTATTTGGTACCTTTTGGTTCATTAGTGAAGAAAATTAATCAAACATTTTTGAAAATGTTAAAGCGACCAGATTTGCTTGTGTGTATTTTTTTTTTTTCAAATGTTTTTTGCTTCTCCAATGTTTTATTTTTTCAACATATAATATGTATAAATTTAAATATGTATAACAAGTTATATAGAGGTTATAAAATAATTATATATAATTTTATTTTTTTAACTTAAAATACAAACATATAAAAATAGTTAAATTTTTAAATGTAACACAGAAGTTGAGTCAACAAAGAATAACTTTTAAAAACTTTTAAATAAGAAAAAAAAAATTTTTCTTAAAAAGTTTTTAAAAGTATTTTACAAAATATTTTTGTAATTTTTATTTTTAATTTATTTTGTCTGTTCAGTATTATTTTTTATTTTTTCAGGTACTGTTTAATATGTTTATATTATATGTTTTTTTATATTATATGTTTCAGGTACTGTCTAATTATTATATGTTGCTGTTTTTATTTTTTTCTCTTTTTTTTTCTTGGAACAATCAAGGAGGCTCTTTTTTTTTTTTAAATTCCCAGCTCTCTCTTGACCCTTTAGCTTCAAAATAAAGGGAAGCTGTGCGGAGAAACAAGTTAAGGGCAGTACTGCCAGTAAAGTGGTGGGGATTGATCATTTTTATGTCAGGTGTCAACAAAAACATTAACAAACATTAATTAATGTTTAGTTTATATTTTTGTAACTTAACCAATGTTTAGTTATGTTTTTGTTGGTAACATTTACCAAACATGAATAATAGCAAAAAAAATTTAAGCTAGTTCAAATTTTTTTTTTGAGTGCATTTATTCTTAAAATACTTTAAAAATCTTTTAAGTTATCACTTTATTGTAAAACAAGCACAACAAACTTTATTGGAAAACAAACAAACAACAATTAGACAGCACAGTTAGTATCAACAGTTTTTTTACTAAACTAAATTGTTAAAAAAAAAATAAATAAATAGTGAAATAATAATACACTCTTATTGCAAAAACATGACAAATTTTTAAAAAAGTTCTTTTTTTTATAGAAATTTGTCAAATGGGATGGGTTGGAGACTTTAATAAAAGGTAAATAATGTTTTATATTTAAGTTTTTGAGTCTTATTAAAAAAATAGAGAGGTTTCTGTTAATTAGAAACTTTTTTTGAATCAATAGTATCTTTTCTATATAATATGATCTAAAATAATGCTAATTTACACAGTGAGTTATTTGCTTTGCAATACTTGGATGCAAATCCATGGGAAACCTATTGCTTTTGCTAAAAAATATTAGTCAATTTTCCTAAAATTTCTAGAAAGTTGCGGAAGCTTCAAGAATTTTTCATTATTTGAGTATATAGGGGGGTATATATATGACCTATCAGGCTAAAGTTTTTGCATTACAACTTCATTATACTGTGAGAAATGAACAATGTTAAAGACCATGTATGGTACTGCTGCACATATACATGCTTGCCTTATGAGTTTCAGTTATGCCATTTAAAAGCTGAAGCTACATACGATGTTTGTAGATCAGAGTTTGGAGTGTAAGGTGACAGCAAAAAAAGGGTTTTGGTGTTCAGGGCAACAGTAAAACATTTGTTTCAATGCTTTTATTGTTTTTTGTGTTAATAATAAATAACAATTTAAAAAAATAAACATAAAAAATCTTTGTGAAAAAGAATGTTTATGCTTTTTTAATTTTTTAGGAATATATCTGTCTATTAAAAGGCAAGAAAGTTTAGCGGCTGTTACTGAAATAAAAGTAAAAAACAAATTTTAGTTATTATTATATTTATGTTTTATGTATTTGTATTTAATGAATTATTTATTTATTTTATATTTTAAAAGTCACTTTTGCTCTCATGCGTTCGAATTATTTCTGGTGAAAATTTACCAAATGATGCTTTTAATATGAAATCTCCTGTTTATCTTATGTTTTCTAATACTGTTATCAAATTGGCATCTCGGTTGCTTTTTATTAGTCCAAATGATTTCAACTTGGAAAAGAATTTTTCAACTTATATTCAAAACTGTGAAACAAAAAGACTCAAGCGATTTTTATTGAGCTGGATATTTCCATTATGCATTCGAATGGGTTCTGGTAGATGTGGTTGGTTTCTATACTTTTTTTGTATTTTTTTCATGAATTACTGTTTTCAATTTTAAATATATACATGTTTTGGTAATTTTTTCTCTTTCTTTACACACATACACACATACACACAGGCACATGCACACAACCATCAGTAAGTGTATGTAAGCAGGGGCTATTTTTGACAGCGTCGACCGTATTTGGGCTGTCCAAATTAAAATTTGATACTCTTTTTTTTTTAATAAGTTTTTTTACATTTTTTTACATTTTTATGGCAAATATTGTTTTTTTTTGCGAAAAAATGCTGATTTTCCGCTAAAGTCCGCCAAAACAAGGGGGTACTGCCACCCAAATATTTTTCCTAGAATAGGCTCTGGTACATTTATTTATGCTTTTCCATATCTGCAAGTTAATGTTTGTACGTTTATTAAAACCTATACCTAGCAATACCATAGTATCAAAGCAATTTTGAGCCATAGCCTCACTTAACTAGTATTACAAACTTTTACAAAAATAAGTAAAATTTTATTCTAAAAATAATATTTAAAAAATTTAGTATTTCAAACATCATTAACAATCAATTCTTATACAACCATTGATAAAAAAATCTCATTGAAACAACAAGTTATAATTATATTTCTGAATGTATTGTATGGCTTATAGGTAATAGAATTTAATTTTTTCTGGCTAGTACTAAAGACAAACTCTAAAAATAAATAAGAAAAAAAAATTAAGATAAGTACTAAACTCTCTCAGGGCTGCTTTTGAGATCAATTTTTTAATAATGTCATATTTTTTAATTCTCTAAAAAGCACAAATGCCTTCACCACCAGACTGCAGTGAAGCCATGGTTTCACATATATAACCACGATGATTAAACAAGTGCTTGTTTATCCTTGGCACTAATTTGAAACTGTTTTTGTAACAAGCATATTTTTAAAGAGTAAATAGCTGTAGTTATCCACTTTTCTTGATGCATCACTCCTGGATCACATCCACTTTGCTTGATGCATCGCTCCTGGATCACATCCACTTTGCTTGATGCTTGAAATCTTATTTTTATTTTTATCTCATTAACTTGTCCAAAGAAAATAATAGATCAGTTCTCAATATATCAATAGCAACAGGACTAATAGTTTTTCAGTTGTCTCTAAACTTTTTGAACATTGGGATATTAGAGCTGTTTATGATTTAGTGCATTTTTGTTTCGAACACACATTTTAAAACCAGTTCATATACGTGATGGCAGCAAGCAAAGAGTAGTAATTCCCTGTCTAATTTTTATTCCAAAAATACGCAAACTCCTTTAAATCACCCTGTATTAAACACAGTTGTGTCACAGCACATTATTTGTATTTTGTTATTAAGGTTCCAGTCATAAAGGGCGTTTAACACAGCTTCAGCTTGATCCTGACTGGAAGAGCTTTCTAGTTTATGTACAGCCAGAAGCTGTTCTTTTTCTCCGAATAAAATTAGAATTGGTAAGCATTCTTTTTTAGAACACCTTATATTCAGTCCAGGCAATAATTTTCCATCATAGTAAACAGTCACTGACAGACAGTATTTTCAACTATGTGTGCGAATGAATTGAATCAACCATTTGTTTATCAGGAAACAATACAAGATCAAGTGCTTCTACTGCAGTATATAGACAGAATCTCTTACGCTTATTAGAATCTATCTAAAGCTGCAACTAACTTAGGCATGATAATATTTTTCTTCCTTTTTTTGTAGTAGTTCCAGACCTTACTGTTTGTACTTTTATAAGCGCTGTTATATTGATAGTCATGTCTTTCCATTTCTATAAAATCTTGTGTAGTAATAAACTCCTGAAACACATTTGCTCATGTTTTTTTTCTCATGTCTTTTAATTTCTCTGTATTGCCTTATCTTTTTTGGTAAACTTTTTGTCTACACCAACTAAACATACTGAATGTTCTCTTTGGTTTGAGGAAAAATATTTTATCTTCTATTTTAATTCGTTCCATAACTAAGAATGAATGAATAATACCAATATAAACTAGTATGAACATGATTTGCTATGGGTTATCATTGGCACAGGTTATTCTACTTTATAAAGTTAAAAATTTATTTCTGAGTGTTTTAAAAGCAAATGAGCAAAACTGAGACCTTTTAATTAGAAAATAAAAACTTAATATTAAAAAAAAAAAAAATAAGGGACACCCTATTGTCTATATAATATTGATATATATAAAATAGATTGATTAAAATTATTTTTAAAACCTATATAAAAACAAAATATTTGTTATTTGTTGTTAGATTTTTGTTTATTTTATTCATGATTAGAAATTACGCAAAATAAAGTTAAAAAATTGTTTTTTAGATTACCCTCAAATGGCTTTAAATGATATACATTTTGTGTTATCTATTTTGATGTCAGTATTAACACCACTAAAAAAAGTTCCGAATAGTCTACATATGGAGTTGAATAATCTTCTTAATATTTTTAATCCGACAGAGCAAAGTTTAAAAAAAAATTTTCTGGGGGTTTGCTTTCTTGGTAAACAATTATTTTTTGGAAATCATAACAAATAAGTTAATAACAGCTTTTGTTTTTTTCTTTTCTTTTTATCTATTTCTATTTTTATTTAAAAGGATTTAAAATATTGTCTATAATCCACCCAAACTCATTTATATTGAAAGATCGAAATTCAGTCCAAAAAGCATTTGAGTCCTACTTGAACAAATATCAAGGTAACAATTCATTTTATATGAGTAATTGTGTGAGTGTGCACTAGTAGTTTATTGTTTTCAATTTTCTTGTTATTTTTTTGTTTATTTTTTATTTGTATAGACTTTCTGATAGTATGGGATTTCATAGAATTTACAATCCATCATAAGACAGCTTTGTTTATTCCACTCCTTCCTACTGTAAAAAAAAAGGTGATTTTTTTTCTTTTTGAATTTTAATCCTTTTTTAATAATTTTATAAGAAATAATTTTTTTTTTTATAAGTTGGAAAATGGAAGTACAACAGATGAGTCTTTGCAAGAAGTGTTTAAGCGAATACAAACTTTTTTAAATAGTCCAAAGCCAACGCAGAGTCGTGGTGAAGTTTTAAAGCAACTTCTTAAAGAATTAACTTCCTTTTCTGCTGATTCTTCTGATGAAGAATTTGAAGATAAGTCTATTAATAGCAATAAGTTATTAAAACAAGAAAAATATGCCAGTAACAGTGAGCATCAAAGCACTAGTGATTTTTATGGAGCAATAAAAAGTCCACCTGTGATAAAGACATCCAAATATCCAGAGGATCAAAAGAAAACTCAAAAGGAAGTAAACAAAGCTTCCTTTTTAGAAAAGACAACCCCAATTAATCGTTTTACTAATATGTCAAGACATACAAGACAAAAGATTTTTAAACAACAAAAAAACACAGATAAGATTGATGGTTCAGAAACTGATGATTCTGATTCATTGTTATCAGTTGCTATGTACTCTAAATCAGTTGATCAAATTCATTCACCAAATTCAATTTCGGAATCCAATGATACTCTTCAATCACCACCATCAGTTTTAAGAAATGAGTTCAATGATGATCATTTAACATTCTCACGTTCACATGTTCTCAAAAGAAAACATTTACCTGAGCTTTCCATAAACTTAGATTTGCTTTACAAAAAAAAAGCATCTGACGCATAAAAGTGTTTTTGAGGAAATTATGATTCTGAAGAATATAAACTCTGAAGACTAAGTGAATATGAACTCTGAAGTGAATGCTGATCATTTTATTAAAGTAGTTTTAGCATAGTTAGAAAATGAATTTTGTTCTTATTTTTTAGTGGAAAATGAAATTACTTTTTCTTGTTCTGTAGTGGTTTTTATGAGAATAAGAATATAAAGTAACATCTTTAGTTTTCAGTGTCTAATGGCAATCCAAATGGAAGTCTTGTGATTTTATTTATTAAGAGAAAAATGAGTTATTTCATAGTGTATATAAACTTATATAAAACTTCTTTAGGAGGATCGAGGAGGATAGGAGGAGGATAGGAGGAGGATAGGAGGAGGAGGATAGTATCTTTGATATTTTGTATGTAAATTCTCATACAAACCACTTTCGAATTTTTTTGAGCTATTTTAAATTTTTTTTGATATTTTTTTATTTATTATATTTGATTTTTTTTTTTAATTTATTTGTGCCTAGTTTTTGTAGAATTTTTATTGAAAATGAATAAAATGCATTGTATTTTAACTATATTTACAACCTATGAATAAAATAATAAAAAATGACTCAATTTGCTAAAGACTTTTGTGGATTGATATACTTTTTGAAGATATCTTAACTAATTTAAAAGGTTATTAGAAATTTGAATTTGATTGTTCAATCTTTTTAAACTTTTTTGTTTCTTTATATCTTTGTTCTAATTATACTTAGTATTTTTTTTTAACAGAATTTTGTCTTTTAATGCATATGTATTAAGTTTTTTTTTTAAAATAAAGTTTAATAATAGATACTGAAAGTTTTAAAGTTGCTATGAATGACTGGCAAAAAATTTGGAGAAATGCAGATGCTGTTTGTTTTGATGTTGACAGTACTTTAATAACTTCAGAAGCAATTGATGAATTAGCAGAGTTCCGGGGAGTTGGAAAAGAAGTAGCTGAGTTGTAAGTTTAATAATTTGAATATTTAACGTTTTAAAGATTAACTAACATAATTATGGCTGCATATCTTATATTTTATATAAAATAATTAAAATGTAATTTCTATTGCTAATGTAACTAGTCATAAAAATTTTCTTTTTGTAAGAATTTTCTTCAAGTTTGAGTATGTAAAACCCCAAATAAATATAGGTTCTAACATTGTTTTAATACAAAATATATTCATTTTTTTTTTTCAATTGTATTGTATTTCTATTAATTTTATGTTTTTACCAGAAATACATTTGTTATTAACTCCATGTCTTTTATCTGTTATTAGCAAGACCTTTGAGTCTTTGATCAACAAATTTCCAACATCCTCTAGAGTCAAGTAACTTACTGTCAGACAATCATTACTGTTTTCAATCTTCTTGCTCTATGGGTGACTTGCTAATTTCTGTGACTGAAAATTTTTTTGTGTGCATTTTATGGAGTTTGCAAGTCTAGGGCTGTTGCTCTTGACATATTCTAAAGCTTTCGATATAGTTTGGCATGTTGGTCTTCTCCAAAAAGCTTGTTTCATGTGGTGTGTCTGAAAATTTTTTTGAGATTATTATTTCTATCTAACCGCTTTATTAAAGTCATCCTTGAAGGCCAATACTCTTCTTTATTTCTAATTACCTTTGAGTAGCTCAAGGTTCTATCCTTGATTCTGTTTTATTTCTTATCTTAATTAATGATCTTACTGACAACTTTACATCTAAAGAGGCTTTGTTTGCTGATGACTCAACTTTATACTCTTGTCTTGAAAAAAATGTTCTCTTTTCAATTGCTTAGAACAGACAGCTGATCTTTAACCTGGTCTCGCTTCTATAAAAGATTGGGGCTTGCAATGGCTTGTGAATTTTAACTCTAACAAAATCATTGCAATAAATTGAAACCCTCTCTCTAAGTACTCTTCTTTGTCTTCTTGGATTATCATTCAATATTGATCTCTCATGGAAGCTATATATACAATTGATTGCAAAGATAGCACCTGCGAAGGTTGTTTATCATGCTCGTTATTATCTTACTCCTGATTCTATTCTCTACCTCTAATTTGCCCCTGCTCGGAATACTGTTGTCATATTTGTGCAGGTTCTTCTAATGATGCTTTTTCTCTTCTAGACAAATTCTAAAAATACAGTGTAAATATAGTTGGACCTACTCTATCTGCTGAGCTGGAGCCTCTCTGCCATCTATGCCATGTAGAGTTGCATCTCTTTCTTTTTTCTACAAATACTTTCAAAGTTGCTGCTCAAAGAAGCTATTATCTCTAGTTCCACCAACCAAAGCTTATTCTTGCTTGACTCACCATTCAGCAAAGTCTAATCTATTTACTGTGTCTATCCCTACATGCTCTAAAATCTTTTATTTGTCTAGTTTTTTTCCTTTTACTTCAACCCTTTGTAACTCTCTCCCATCTTCATGTTTTCCTGACTCATACAACCTACAATTTCTCAAGTCTTCTGTCGACTGTTTCCTTGCTCTTTAACTCTATTCTTTGTTTTCTAGTGACTCAAATCGTGACTTAATCGTGGTTGGTTGCAGCTTTTTTAGGAATGAATCAGAATTGAAAAAAAAATGTGTTCACTGGGAATAAATTTATATTAACTCCATGTTTACACTGGGAAAACATATTATAATAGTTTCTAAATTAAATTAGAAAAAAATGATCGATTACACCAATTACAATTGATTTATGGGTTACCATGGGTTACAAAATAAATAAAAAGTATTTTATTTTAAAATTCTGAATTTTTTGTGCATAAGTATTAACAAAATATGCAGACCACAGAACCAAAAAAATTTATTGATAAAAATGAGTTAAAGTTGTGTCTTGAATTTACCTATTGTTATGCTATAGTTTAACTTAAACTTATAAATGAAAAAGTTATGGTGTACTTAATATCTCCTCATGAGTTATAATATGCTTAACCTGAAAGGTGTTTTTATTGTGAATTAAGGTGTGCCTAATATGATTTATGATGTGCTTAGTTCAAATTAGGATTCACCTAATGTGCCTGGTTGATTAAGTGCAAGTTTCCTTATTTAGTTGGTTGGTTAACTGTAAGGCTCCTTAATTAGTTATTTAGCAAATGTTTAACCAGATTCCGTAATTAACAATTAATTATAAATATTATTAACAATTATCATTAGCAATACTGCAATAAAAAAAATTATTGCTGATTTTTAAGTCATTTTTTTATTATGTAATTTTAGAACCACAAAAGCTATGGGAGATGGTCTTTCATTTCGCGAAAGTTTGTACCAGAGGCTGTCATTAATCAAGCCAAGTAAGGATGTGGTAATAGTTATGTTTTCATTCAATTACATGTTATTAAAAATGTTAAGTTTGAATTTCTTGAGCTATATTGAAGATGTTTTGTGGTTTTGCATTTTTTTAAAGTTATGTTGTAGCTTTTGTTTCAAATTAATTAAAATTCAAGTAAATAACAATAGAAGCACATATTTATTTTTCTTTACAACCATTACAATAAAGATCAGTTTATAATCAAAACAGTTATAATAATATCAATCATATTAAAATCAATGATCATTATACAGTATTATTTTAATTAATATGAACATGTGCATAAAAAAGTATTTTTTGTGTTTGCAAATCTACATGGTCACATACAATTGGATCTTGCATTCAGTGTTCATCTTACTCAGTTGTCTGAATTTTTAACTTGCGTTTGATTGTGTTTAGTGCAATTAAAATAGATGAATGGAAAGTAAATAAATGGAAAAAAGTTTTGTTTTTAAGACACATTGTAATCCATACGAATTGATGGTGATGAAAAATCGTTAGTTGCTCATTTTGAACAAACTGTAAAACATTCTCAAAAAGTTTTGTAGCTGTTTTTCATAGTACAATCCAGGATCACTGATTTCCACTAAAAGAATTATGAAATACAAAAATTGCTAAAAAAACTAAACCTGGAATTGCAATGTGGATGCTGTGGTGAGTCATTGTTTCAGCAAGATTCTGTGCATTGCCATATGTGTAAGAAAAAGATCAAGTACTTCCAAAAAAAAATAATGTAAAACTATTGAATTAACCAGATAATTTCCCTAACTTTAATCCAATATAAAGTTTGTGGTCTAAATGCAAACACCGGATTAGAACGATGGACTGTATGAACAAAAGATATATGATAGAGGCAGTGATTTAGGTTTCAAGAAATCAAAGAAAATTGTAAAAAAATTGTAGAATCCATGCCAAGAAGAATATCCAAAGTAACAAAAAATATTTGAAAAATGTTTGAAACACACATTAAGTAATTATAATGTTTTTTATAATAAAATGTGTTTATTTAATTAAAAGGCGTTTTTTCTGTTTTGCAATGTTATGTTTATACTAATTAGCACAATGAAGTAATGAGAAAATGACTGTTAAAGATGGTGTTAATTAGCACACTACTGTAATAAAGTAATTAGAAAATGACTGTTAAAGATAGTGTTATTTAAACAATTATCTAATCTATAGAGTGACACCAAACATTAAAAATAATAATAGGAGAATGGTTAATAATGATAGTGTCACACAATCAGAATGACTGATTGATAACGATGTCTCTCAAACAAAAAAAACTGTTGCTAGTTACTATCATAGTTAAGAGTTATTTAGAAAAAAAAAGTTATGTTAGAAAGTAACTTTTGTCAGTTATAATGCAAACATCTGAGGTTTTTTTCAAACATAATTTTGAACGGTTTGCAAGACTTTTCTAGCAATTAGTTTTTGGTCTGCATGTTTTTATGTAACCAAGTGGCAACATCTAAGCGCATGGCAAGCACTTATTTGGCAAGATATTTTGACTCACTAATTTATCATGAAATCTATAAAGAGTCATACAAAAGTTATGGAAAAGTTATGGAATTTCATTTTCAAATTTGAGTGGCCACCCTGTAGTAATAAAAATTAAAAAAGAACGTTATTATGTGTGCAAGGAAAATGAGGACAGAAGATAAAGATTGATATTTAAAAGCTCAATATTAAAAGAATATAAACATAATAAAAATGAAAAAAATGGTAAAGCTAATTTCATCACATGATTTACTATATATATTTTTTTCATTACAAAACGCTAGTTAACACTTCAGTTTTGTACTGAAACTTGTGTTACTGATATAACACAAGTTTCAGTACAAAACTGAAGTGTTAACTAGCGTTTTGTAATGAAAGTTAACACTTCAGTTTTGTACTGAAACTTGTGAAGTTTTAGAAACTTGTGAAGTTTTTTTTTTTTTCATTATTGCATTCAAAAGAACACAAGTTGTGTTCTAGTGAATGCAATAATGGTTTATTGCATTCACTAGAACACAAAGATATTTATTTGTTATAAATTTATTTTTACTACCTAATTTTTATAATCTTTTCTTTCACTTGACCAGAACTTCTCAACAAGTAAATTGTCCACATATTTAATAGTGCTCTTCTTTTAAAGAGTGTTGATAGTGTTGCAAGTTCAAGTCCTTCTCAGGGAAATTTTTTTGTGTAAATTTTAAGGTTTTATTTCTTAAGAGGTCATTATTTGTACACTCATACAAATAATGTTCTTATTACTTGTAGTCTGAACACTGTTTAATAATAATATTGCAACATAACAACAACAATGCTACATCCTATAATACTTTAATTATGAATATTATGCTGCTGATGCTATTACTCATTCGTGCATGTTTGCACCAAACTCACGGCAGCCTGACACCTGAGTTAAAGATATAAGAAAATACAAACGAAAGTTCACAAGTACGTAAACTTTAGATAATGTAATCTTAAAATATAAATCAAGTTTTTACTTTTACTTTAAAATTATGTTGCAGCAACATTTCCTTAATTTTAATTTAAAGCACTTATTTGTTGTTTTATGAAGTTGTTTTAAAATAAGTAGTGTTAAAATTTTCATCAAACAATTTCAATTAAGCCTTAATGGTCCAAATGTTTGATTTATAGCATTTATTTGCTGTTTTATAAAGTTATTCTGTCTTTAGTTTATTAAATAGTGTTAAAAATTTGCAGATTAGTGTGTCATAGTGACTGAAGGTATAGCTTGTTGCGCTTTCAAAGTACAACGCAAGAGTTTATATCCTCTCTTGCACATTAATTTATTTTTTATTTTTAAATCTTTTTCAATTTTTAAAATACAAAAAAAAAAAACATTTTCAAAGTTCTATTGATGTTATATCAATAACATATATAAAGATATTATAACATATATAAAGATATTATAACATATATAAAGATATGATAAACTATGATAAACAAAAGTGAGAGAGCTTTTAAACAAGCTTAAAATTTCAATCAACATTAATACAGAGGCAGAAATTGTTTGCTCATATGTCACAATAAAGATACTTAAGTTAATGATATTCTTAGGTAATTAGTTAAATTTGTGCGTTTAACACACATTAAAAAGACAACATTTTAAAGGATAAAAGATTTTACATTCAAATTTTTATTTTTTTCAAAATTAATTAACAGGGTGAGGTCCTTATAAGATGCGGATGGTCTGGAAAAAGATTTGGTAAAAACTTAATAGAAACTTAATAAAGAAAAGTTTTCATAGTTTGTGCCCATATTTTTTATAGAAGTTTACAATTTTACAATAAGAAGTTGTAAAGTATTAAACATTAGTCATTAACTCAAAACAAAGATTTGACATATTTTTATTTTCTACCTCTTACTAAAAATTATTGAAATAAAATGACTATATAAAGAATGAGTATAGAAAGGGTCTGGAATAGACTTACCATGCTTGTACCGGTTGTGGTACATTCTTTATTCCACATATTTATATGCGAACCGCTGATAAATAGTGGTTCATGCAACCGCTGCATTTAAAATTTTTCAAAGTTAATTATATAATAAATTATTTTTTTATTCATAACTTTAAAAGTTAGACAACAAGGCTCAAATTAAGTGATCACAAATTGCAATATCTGGAAATATTTCTGGTCATTAAATTCTTAGTTTGTTAAAAACTGTGAACACTGTTTTAATAAAACGGTCAATTTATCATATTGCACAAATTAATGAAAAAACAAAATAAATTTACTACTGCAAAAATAATAACAGTCAAAACTTACATATTTTTAATTATTGTTTTTTTTAAACACCAGGCTATTTAAAGATTATAAATTAAAAAAAAGTTGTAAGACAAAAATTATTATTACTAAAGGTTCAAAAAATTAGTGTGGTAATTTAAAAATCAGCCATTAAAATATTATGCTAAAATTATTTGCGCATTGTATGAAACATTAATATCAATTTTTGTTTAGGGGGAAAGTTTAAGGAATTATTTATTCAAAAATTTAAATGTTTTAATTAGAAATTATTTAATTGATAATAAAAAAAATTATAAAAAATATATTTTAAAATAAGTTATTAGAATTTTTTTGTTTTGTTTTCAAACAAATATTAAAAGTTTAAATTAGTTTTTATATATTTTTAAACTCCTCCTGTCTTTTTATTTTATATATGTCTGCAAAAGAGTTACTTATAAGAAAGTTATTTATAAGAAAATATTGAATGAAATTTAAATAAGTCATAAAAGTATTTTATATCTTTTTTAACAGTTTCTTTTATTTAAAATATTTGAACTCCACTAAATTCTTTTAGACTGTTGTGATTAGCAGTTGTTTTAACTATTATATGGTACTTTATCATGCTTTATTTTTCTAGTTTTATCTGATGATTTATAAAATGAATTTAAATGTTAAAGATTAAATCACAATCTTTAATAATAATACAAATAACAGTAATAACATGTAAAAATAACAGTAATAACATGTAAAAATAACAGTAATAACATGTAAAAATATGGTTTTGCAATAAAATTTTATATCATAATTCAAGAACCAACATAAATATTTTTTATTGAATAATAGCTATTAAGTTTAATGATCAAACCAGTTTTATGGATTTTAAAAGCTAAAAATTTAAAGACTGGAAGCATTTCCAGATATTCAGGGCCGTCCTGATGAGATTTTAAAGGGGGGGGGGGGTAGTGACGTGTCTGTTTTTTGCCAAATAAAGCCAAATTTTTTTTTTTGTCTACTAACTTATAAACTAAAAAAATAAAAAGAAAGAAAAAAAGGTCCTCAATTTCCAACATTTACTGACTGCCAACAATAAACCCAATTTTGCGACTCCAGTATCCAATTTGCCAACTAATAAAGTTCGTAGGAGGGCTAGACACCCCTACACCCCCCATCCTTGGCATGGCCTTGCAGATATTGCAATTTGCGATCACTTAATTCAAGCCCTGGACAATATGTATAGTTTTTCTACTGCTTACTAAAAAATATTGAATATATTGAATATATAAAAAATATAGAAATGGTCAGTGTAGAATAGAACAAGACTCTTTTTTGTAATAAAAAGTGCAAAAAAAACTTTTTAATTTAAGTTTAAAAGTTCAGCAAACTAACGATTGACACTTGTACACAAAATTCATTCGAAAATAGACCTTTCAATCTTTAGTTTACTGAACTACTAAATTTAAATTAAAAGTTTATTTTCTGCTAAATAGTAGACAAAAGATTATATCTTTTCACAAATATTTTTGCTTTATTTTATTTGTCTTTGAGTATTTAATTTTTTTTTGGCATTTTTTTCAAAACTGTTTTAGATTATTATAAAATCTTTTATTCAAATAAGTTTATTGTAATTTTTAATTTTTTTTTCAGCTAGATGCATTTATAAATAAAAATCCATTTGAGCTGAGCCCAGGGGTTGTGTAAGTTTATTATACTAAATCTTTTTCTTTATTAATTTAGTTCTTCATCAATAAAATCTTTTTTTTTTTTTTTTTAGAGATTTAATAGAAATTCTAAAGATTCGAAATGTTGACATCTATTTGATATCTGGAGGCTTTCGACCAATTATTAATGCTATTGCTAATTCTCTAAACATACCTACTGAAAATGTATTTGCTAATGAAATCTTGTTTAGCAAAAATGGTAGATAAATTTTTTTTTCTTATATATATATAAATATATATATATATATTTATATATATATATATATATATTTATATATATATATATATATAAATTTATATATATATATATATATATATATATATATATATATATATATATATATATATATATATATATATATATATATATATATATATATATAAATTAGTAACAAAGACTCATCAGAAATTTCTGATGAGTCTTTTTGATGAAACACAGTGTAAAATGAAAAAAATTTTTGTTAAGTGATTTTCTACTAATTTATAATTGCTCTGTTCTTTTAAGAACATTGAGCACTCTATTTTGTAGAATACATTTTTAAAATTGTTCAAATATATATATATATATATATATATATATATATATATATATATATATACATGTATATATATATACATGTATACATATATACATATATACATATATACATATATACATATATACATATACATATATATATATATATATATATATATATATATATATATATATACATATATATATGTATATATATATATATATATATATATATATATATATATATATATATATATATATATATATATATATATATTTATTTATATACAGTGATGTGCTCTCCAGTTTTTTCGACTACAATATAACGATATATATATCCTTATATTGTAGTCGAAAGAGTTTTTTATGGTAAAAAAAAAGTCTCTTTAAAGCCTGCTGCTACTTGGGAGTGCTGCTACATTGAATAACTTATAGCCTGCTGCTAAAATGAAGTACCACTAAATTGACTGAGGGTTTGTTTTGGGAAAGCAGTCTATCATTTAAAAATATATATATTTAAATTTTTAAACTTTTCCTGGTCTGGTTTAATAGGGTTCTCTTTAAAATTACAGTTTATGGAAGAAACTTTTAGACTACCATCCGACAATCATCCGAAAAGATTGCTGCCCCATCCCAAACCCTCAGTCAATTTATTGGCACCCATTTGCGACAGCAGGCTATAAGATAGTTAATGTATGTGCTGAAGTTCCTGGCAACAGGCATTTCAGTGTGATCTCAAACTTGTTATCAAACATTATGACCATTTAAAGTTTGAATTTTCCCTCAATTTTAGGGTATTAAAAAGTTTAATTTGGTGGTAATTTTTGAATTTTATGTGATTGTAGAATAAAATTTTAAATTTAACAATGAATACAAATTTAGTTAAGAATAGTAAAATAATATTTTATCTAGTTGTTGCTCTCAGTTATTGTTGCAATTGTTTTTCAGGGAAAAACAATCTCAGTTATTGTTGTTAACAGTTTTTCATGGAAAAAATGTTGTCAATAGTTGTTCAGGAAGTCTTGAAGTCTCACCCAAGATTTCGTTCAAGTTGAGATTTTTAATATTGAGCTTTAAGTGTGTTTTTTGCACATGTTTTACGTAACAGGTCGGACTAAAGTTTTGCTTGAATGACAAACTTTGGACTTTTTTAAAACAATGAGTTCTTTAACTTTATATTGGATTTGTTTTCAAAATGTTTAACCATTTATTTTGAAAGAGTATTTTTTTGAATGGTATTGAAATTATCATTTATAATATAACTTGGTAAAAAAAATTCTAAGACTTTTCATAAGAAAGAGCAGGAAACATAAAATTATGTTTCCTGGTCTTTCGTCCACATCTGCTACAACTTAAACGATAACTTCTTTTTATTCTTAGTATTTATTCAGAGATTTCCCAATTATTGTTTTGATATAAATTTTTTTTTTTTGTGACAACATAAAATTTGTTTTTCTTCAGTTATATTTTATCTCATATTATGAATTTAGTTTTTCTTCATGCAATATCAAAATAATTTTAGGCCTGCTTTTAACAAATACCTTAAAAAAAAAAGTCAAATCTTGATTTCAAGCCCAAAAGATTAGATAGAGTTTCGATAGAAGAGCCTTTCAATTTTTATACTGTTTTATTTATTTTTAAATTTTTAGTTTTTGCTTAATTTAAAATTTACATTTTTTTACTAAAAAATATAAAAAATTTTAACTTTTAAACTAATAAAAAAAAGAAATTTAATTTGTAGGATTTTGACTCTGGTGGCTTTAGTGTATATAATAACTTTTTTGCAAAAACCTTTTTTGTGGATGTCATGCCAACCATAAGTGAATGAAAAATAAAAAAAATTTAAGCACTTTTCATTTAAACTATACTTCTTGTGTATCATTTGTAGGTGAATATGAAGGATTTGATGAAGAAGAACCAACTTCATCGTCTGGTGGTAAAAAGGTAGTAATTGAAAAATTAATTGAGAAATACAACTATAATAAGTAAGTTACTTTTAATTGAAAATACGCTGAAATTTTTTTACATATAAAAATTGTTGGAATGTTGCTAAATTTTGTCTTATTAATATCATTCTAAAATTCTTTCTTAGTTTTTTCAAAACAAATCTAAATTTATTAAAGCAAAAAATTGTGTGCGCAAGTACATTACATATAGTTTCAATACTATTTTGGCTTCTAAATGTACTCTGCAATATTAATAATCAAGTTTTGTGTGAAGAAGTCATAAAAAATGTTAAAGTAAAAGCATGAGTAAAATGAGTGTTTTTTTTTGTAATTTTACAAAAGAGCTAAAACTTTTTTAGAAATCTTTTTTAAATTTAATTAAAAGTCTTAATTTGAATTTGAAAATTTTATATAAGATTATAAAGAAGGTGAATATATAAAAACATAAAGAAGATGAATATATGAGAATATAAAGAAGGTAAATATACTAGATTATAAAGAAGGTGAATATATAAGAATATAAAGAAGATGAATATATAAGAATATAAAGAAGATGAAAATATAAGAATATAAAGAAAGTGAATATATAAAAATATAAAGAAGATGAAGGTATGAAAATATAAAGAAGATGATTATAAAGAATATAAAGAAGGTGAATACATAAGAATATAAAGAAGGTAAATGTATAAAAATATAAAGTAGGTGAATATATAAGAATATAAAGTAGGTGAATATATAAGAATATAAAGAAGGTAAGCATATAAGAATATAAAGAAGATGAATATATAAGAATGTAAAGTTTTTTTAAAAACGTGCTAAAAAACAGAACAGAGTTCTGTTTTTATGAATGTTTTTTTTTTAAATTTTGATTTTATTGTTGATGACATCAGTTGGATTTTATTGTTGATGTTGATCAGTCATATTTTTGATGTTGTCAGTCAGATTTTATTGTTGATGACATCAGTTTGTTCATAACTGGTAATTATTTAACTGAATAGACTATAATATAGCTATTAATAATTATATATAATAATTATAAGTATGAAAATGATTTTTGGTAATTCACTAAAATGTGTGAACGATATCCAAGTTAGACCAAGTTGAATGCTTATTAATTAAAAAGTGTATAGTTAAGCAGTTAGGCCCATTCATTAAGGAAAATCACAAATTTAGTCTTTTGGCTTGGTTTACCTTTATTTAACATTATGCTATATAAGTCACTGATTGGTTACAGGCACAAAAGATACCAGTGGAGCGTTCCAAAAGTATTATATTGTGAATATTTTGGCAATTTTTAAACAATAAGTGTGAATTATGGCTGAACTACTAATAATGTTTACAAACTATAACCAAGATTAGCTTTAAAAAATGGATGTTCAGGTTGTAACAGTTAGTTTAGTATGAAAAGGCTGCAAAGTTCAAATTCAAATTCAAATTGTTCTGAAATAAGTTGTGAACTTTTAGAACTTTTGAAAGTACTGAAAGTTTACAACTAAATCTTTACTAACTTAATCTAAACTAAAAACCTACAACATTATAATAAAGGTAATAATATTAATATTAATAATAATATTTCTAATAACAAAATCTAAATGTCTTTAATTTGCACGTACAGTGAACGCTCTACATAAGCAACCTCTCTATAAGCAACATTCTTTATAAGCAAGCTCTATACAAACAACTTTTTTTAGTTCAACTGTTCTGTATAAGCAACTTATATTTTTAAAGCTAAATATTTGAGTTAAGTTTAGGTTAATTTAGAAGTAAAATCAGCTGTTTACAACAACATAACCTCAAATTATGAAAAATTCTGTTATTGAAATATGTTTATGTTTTTTGCTATTATTGAAGTGAATTTCTGTTAAAGTTACTTTATTTTATTTAGTTTTTGTAGATCAATCAATTAATCGACTCAACCTCAAAATTGTAAAAAATTAAGCTCTAATTGTAAAAAAATAACCTCAAACTGTAAAAAATTATGTTATTGGAATTCGTTTGTATTTTGTGCTGCCAGTATTGGCAGCACAAAACACAAACATATTCTAATAACAGAATTCCTGTTAAATAGAATAGTTACATGAGCTCTGTTAGTTTATAATAGATAATAAATAAATTATTATTTTTGTGCTTTAAATTCAACCATAAAATTTGAATCAGAAGAAAAAAAGACGTTCAATATTATTAAAAGATTAACTACCCATTTTAAAAGACATTCAAAATGGTGAGAAAATGAAGGACATTTGTAACGAATATAAAGTTGCTAACTTTACTATAAGTAGAGTAAAAGAAAATAAAGAAAATTTAGTAAGAGTAACAGTTATGCCATGCGTAAACACTTCAGGTATGCATAAATTAACTATTAACACGAGGTATGCATAAATTAGATTTGATGATGAGAGGAAAATCAAAATCTCCTCTTTACTTCAAAAATATGAATTTACCCGTATATTACAAATCATCCAAAAATGCGTGGCAAACTTGTACATTTTTTAACGACTGGTATAACAATATTCATACCATTGGTAACTTGACACTTGGAAACTAAAAACCTTCTCGTAAAAACCCTTCTCTCAGTAGTGCAACTTGCCATGGGTCTAAGAATAATTTTACTGATAACCCGAATTTCAAAGTAATTTTTTTCCATCTAATAACACATAATAATAACGCACGATTATTGCAACCACCGCTTATACAATAATAATAACAATAAAATATTTTCTTATGCAAAATAAAACTGAATTTATTTATTCTACACAGTTTAGTTAGTAAAAGAATTTTTATACTCCTTTTTTCCCTATAAGCAACTTATTTCTTAATAAAAAGCTTATTGAAATTGGTTCAAACGAGTTGCTTATATAAAGCGTTCACTGTATTTGATTTTGATAAATATTAAATACAAGTTTAGCCTAAATTGCCGTAGAACCCATGACACATTTAATGTGTCATTAATGCGTCTGTATGCTACGAAGATATTTGTGTTTGAAAAGTATTTTCAATCTTTTAAGAGATAAATAATGACTATGTAATTTTTTCTTTGTTTTATCTTTAATTTGTCTTAATTTTTACACCAAAAGCACGTTTAAATTTGCTCCTCTTATGACTACTTAAACTAGTCTTAAGAACATAGTAGGTCGGGTGAATTAAAATGAGCATTTGCTTTTACTCAGTAATCAGTCAGCTTTACGTGAATAAAAACTTAAGCAATTTTTATTAAGTTTTTATTCACGTAAAGCTGACCACTTACTGAGTAAATTGCTTAACTTTATGTGAATAAAAAATTCACGTAAAGCTGACCAATTACTGAGTAAAAGTGATTGCTCATTTTTATTCACCCGGCCTAATAACCGTTAACTAATCTTAACCGATTATGTTCTTATTTAACCTAACCTTAACGGTTATTATGTTTTTACGGTTAAAATTTTTTTTTTTTTTTTTTTTTGAGGGGATATTTTCTCGGGGGGATTTTTTCCGGGGGGTTTTTTTCTTGGAAGGATTTTTTTCTTGGGGGATTTTTTCCCGGGTTTTTTTTACCTGCTACCAACCATTATATGCATGTTTTTGTTTTTTGTTTTTTTAAACTGCTATTAAAATGACATTTGTTTTCAAATTTTTATTAAGAATGACATATCGTAGAAATGGTTAATTTACGAAAGTTTTTCATTAAAAGTTGAATAACTTGCTTGTTAGAGCAAATATTAAACTTTAATTTTTTAAAAAATAAATTCCACAAAAAGAAAAAGTCGAACAAGATTAAATAAAAATTATTTTATTTAGATTAATATTACTAGTATTTTGATTTTAAAAACCTTTTTTTTTTGTGCGTTATTATCAATACGCTAATTGCGGACGTATTTATAATAGAAAGAAACATATGTACATTTTTTTCCTTTTGTTTTTTAGCACTTCTTTCTTTTTAAATATCCGTAAAAATTGTTTCTCTTTCTACATTAGCGACATTAACTTATACGGAAAAACGACACTTAAACGTTTATAAACGCAAAAAACAAGTTTCCGGAAATTTTATTTTTGAGTTAAATTCAATTTATTTTAAGTAATATTAATAATAACTAATAACTATAATTTTTACATACTTTTATTTATTTTTTACTTGTTTTTATTTATCCAAAAAAAGTTCATTTCGATAAAGAAATTATAACGTTTTATTAAAATTTTCGTAATTAGTATTCATCCGCAATGAACCGTTTTTACGGTAAATTGATGTTAATTACTTTTTATATTAATTGTAATTAACCTATGTATATTTTATTTTATTTTTCTGTATACGTTTTACATATACAGAAAAAATATATATGTATTTTTTTTTCTGTATACGTTACTCTAATTTTTATCAAATTCGCAGCATTGTTATGATTGGTGATGGAATGACGGATTTAGAAGCGTTTCCGCCCGCTCGACTATTTATTGGATACGGTGGTAACAAATTAAGGGAAAATGTGCGCATGTTGGCGCCTCATTACGTGATGCACTTCAATGAACTTATTGTTGCTTTTAATTAAAATATTTTTTCAGTTTTGATTTTACCAAAAATATTTAAATTTTTATTTATAAATTATGTATTTATATTTGCATTGTAAGTACAAAAAAATATATATATGCGTATATATACATTTGTACTGTGAATGTAATATAGCGCAGATGGGTTTTAACTAAATAGTAGTCGTCGACTTTCAGAATCCTCTAGAATATCATTTTTTTGTATTAGGGTATATCATGCTCATGCATGTTCTAGTTTTAATTACATCACTTTTCATATGTTTTTATAAAGCCTAAGTTGAATGGTATAATTTTTTTTGTAAAAAATACATTATATACAATACACAAAATACAAAAACATTTTTTTTTTCTGAAAATGTTTTTCCCTAAATGTTGACTATTTATGTTTTCAAATTGAATGCTATTATTTGTACCATTTTATTTTTCTAACACAGATTTTGGTTGATTTCTAACTCAGAGTTTAAAGAGCCTTACACTTTGTCGCACTAAAGCTGTTGAACTAAGACTCAGCTTGACACAAAGCCCAAAAAGCCAATATATAACACTGAGAATCTAAACTTGATAAACTTTTAGACAGCTTTTTGCAAATGTAGAATTGTTTACTGTAGCGAAAATGATGCCCCTTGCAAAGAATCTTATGATGACCGTGCTCATTGCCTTTGCAAATGTGACTTAAGTGACTTAAGTTTAAGAATTCACAAAAAGAGTTTATTTGGATTAAAACCCAGCAAGAAAAACAAGATTTCAACTATGCGAGAGTTTGGTCATAATGTTAAAGAAACTGTCAAGCTTAAGTTCAAAAGTTTTCATAAGTCAATTGATCCAGCAAGGTTTAATTAACAACAAGAAGCCATTGAGTCATTGAGAACATCTTTTATTAGATTTGACGCTAAAAATATGAATGTTGCCGCAAAAATAAATAATAATTACAACATAATGTTGTTATGGTCAGTGATAGTGATAAAGTCAGTGGTAGCGAAGAAGACTCAATATTAGAAAAACAATAAAACTATCTATCAGATTTGATATGTCATTGACTGCTACTGCTGCTATCATTAATGGTCTTCTGAAAGATATTATGAAGGCAAGGAAACTTGTTGAAGATTAAAATAATCATATTTGTGATAGCATGAATTCTTTTAGTGCCAAATAGCGTGCTATGAAGTATTCTAGAGTAGAGGAAAATTTAGACTGAAAGAAATTTTATTACTTGATTTTTTGTTGATGTTAGAAAAGATAAAACTTTAATCTTTATGCATAATAAGACCACAGGCACCTTCAGAAAAAAAAAATAATCAAGAAAAGTATTTAACTTTGAAGGAGGTCGCTCTCTTAAATATATTCCATATCTTGGATATGAATCCTAAAGGGGTCGACAATAATTTTATGTTAAATTACTCGCGGTTAATTTTTACTTTATTAAATTTTTCATATATATTAATCATTGTCTATATTTTAAAGATTAAACTTTAATTTAAAAATTTTATTTTTTAATAAAACCCGTTTCCCGGTAGCTAAACATAAATATTTTACAAAAACATTTTCAAAATTGAATTCGATTAGAAATATTATATTTTAATTAAAAAAAAAGAAGTACATAAACAAAATATTGAAAAAATGCTGAATGTTTTAAATAACGAAATAAAAACAGAGACTTTTTAAATAACAGCAAATACAAGCATCACAAAGTTTTCATCTTCAAAAACTCCATTTAGCTGTGCACCGCTCTCATGATATCAATAAACTTTTTCCACAGGATACCCATTCATTTATTATTTTAGGATCATTACATGACATGTAGATTATTCCGTATTGCGTGCAGGAATTTACTATTCATTACATTTTTTTTACCAGAAAATGGAAAGTTATTCTTTCTTTCAAGCTTTCAGCAATCTACCCTGTTCCTTTTCCTATAAATTTTGTTCAATTGCTTCAAACCTATTACTGGAAAAATTCTCTTTTTCTTTCTGCATTTTGTTTTTATTCTCAGTCTTTTGAATGTTTGCATTGTGAGCTTTCTTAGATGTTAATATGAAATATGACCATGATTTGAATTTTTTTTAGTAAATATTGCACACGTGAATTAAATTTTAAAGAGTATATTTAACAAATATAACTTAATTTAAATGTAGGGAAAGGTTGCATAAGATGGTATAACCTCCTTTACGGGTAGACTACTGATTTTTTTGCGAATATTTTGGTTAAGTTTATTCATACAAATTCGATGGAGATATTTATTTTAACTACTTGGTTGTATATTTAATACTCTTTCATTGTTTTATTGTTAAAAAAAATAACATCCCCGTTATAGTTTTTTATTATTCAATATTTTACAATTACGTCAGAATGAAACAAGATCATCAAAAAATTATTACATCCTCAATATTTTATGCTTATCTTCAGCTAATTCCATGGGTTATAATGAAATAATATATAAGCTGTTGCCATGCTACTCATATTATGATAGTACTCAGTGAATTTATTTAAGATGATATGTTTTGAGACGCTCAAGATGCGGCTTTTTATTAAGGAAAGCGCGTTTTTTAAAGTTATTCTCCACGGAGCTCCGAGTGACAGAAATGCTTAAAAACCTGGATAATTGATGAAATTAAAAATGGAGTTATGAAGCATTTTTTTAGTGGAAATGTATAAAAGAGTCCCTGGTCCATCTTATCCACATTATGTTTTCTTTTAGGGTAGGGCTGACATTTAACCTTGTAGAACCTATAATCTAGCTCAATTCATTTGTTTAAAAAATATCTCGATTGCGCGAGTTATTTGTACTATTTTTTTTTTATAATGTTAAAGCTTAAGTTTTTTAAAAGTTCCAAATTTTTTTCAGGGGTTCATCAATTTTGGGTTTGACGCTATTTTTTAGTCATAAAAAAATAACTTTGAAGTGCATAAAATATACGTTAATAGGTCTTTCAAAAAAGTGCATTTAAAATATTTTAATTTTTAAAAAATCCGCTTTTTGTTCATGCCCTCAGATACAGTTTCAAACTTTTTTCATGAAATTGGCGATGATTACAGATTATGAAACATTTTTTTTTTTTTTTTTTTTACTTATTGAGCTTTTTTGCGTGAATTAGAGAAAATGTGTTAATGTGAAAAGTGTCAAAAATTACATCACGCTTGAACTAACGACGTTAGTTCAAGCGTGATGTAATTTTTTGATATATATATATATATATATATATATATATATATATATATATATATATATATATATATATATATATATATATATATATATATATATATATATATATATATATATATATATATATATATTATAATCGTGATGTAATAAGATTTTGATATATATATATATATATATATATATATATATATATATATATATATATATATATATATATATATATATTATAAATAAAAAGGCTTTAAAGTAAACAAAAACATGCATGTTGAATTATAATTGGAGCAAATAAAGCAGAGCCCTCTGAGCCTTTATTGTGTTTACTTAAAGCTTTAAATATTTATAAAATAAATTTACATAAAATTTTAGTCTTTATGTATATAACTAAGCTAGGAATGTCGCCGAAAATATTTGAATCCTATTTTGTGAAATCTGCCATAAATATAGTACAAGATTCTTAGTAAACAACTTTGTCGTCTCAAGATATAGTTTAAAATTGAGTTCATACTCAATTAAGTATTTTGGGGCATATTTATGGAATTTATTTTCAAATATTACAAATAAAAAGAAAACCATTCTTGATCGATTTAAAAAAGAATTTAAACGGTTGTTCTTTTTTATGGCTCTCACTATAATAGATTTTCTTTTAAATAAAATAAAGTTCTAATAAAAAATCAAGATAACTTAAAAAAAAAAAATGTTTTTAAAGAAAGTTAGTATCACAATCCACCATAACAAAGTTTATTAATGATGTTACTCTCTCAATATAAATATAAATGTATTTATCTCTTTTTTTTTATCTTTTTTTTTTATTATTACTGGCATATAATCGTTTTTTTTTTTTTTGCAACTGCAGCTGCGTTCTTTTTCGTTTTGCAACTGCAGATAATGTAAGCATCTTAGCAATTATTGATTACTACTTTCTAAATTTACGTCAATATAATATGATATTAATAAACTACGATTTTATAAAAATAAGACTCGGTGATAAGACAGAATTATGTCTTCTTTTTGCTTCAGCCATTACTTATTTTGTTGTATATGTATATGAAAAATTTTTTTATTGTAAAAGGCAAAATAAACATATTAAAAAATAATAATAATTTATATATTTATATATATACTTCTTCTATTTATTTTTTTAATTTATTGTTAAAAACTGTAAAATAAATTGTATAAAATTGTAATAAAAAGAGAAAACACAAAATCTATTTTTTCTTGGCTATATTTAGCCTCCGTTAATTATAAATGTTCTTAAGTTCATATTTGGGGCAATATTGTTTCACGATTTCCAATTGTCCAACTTAGTACATATTGTGAACTTGATTTAAGAAAAACAACCTTGTCTGATGTGTGCTGCCATTTTAATCCAGTTTCATCCATAATCCACACACAGTGCGGTTAGCAACTAAAATCCGCTTCATCCATAACTTGGTTTAGCGCATCAAAATAAATAAAAACCTTGTTGTTTTCGATATAATAAAGGTCTCAATTTTTTCCAAGAGTTGAAAGCCCTTTTTTTAGTGAAGAGCATCATTTTTTGATAGCAGACCATTCTTAAAGGAATTTTCACGTTTTATTGGTGTATCCTCAGCATATTTCATAAACTGACGCCTTCCCAGCGCAAGCATATCATATATGCAACACGAAAGGCAATACCCAAATAAGTTAATTTCAATGCATACTTAACTAACTTGAGCTCATCTTCAATTTTAAGTTTTGTAGAACACCCTGGGTGTTTCTGAGTTTTTTCAATGAGACGGCTTCACAAAGTGTATCGAAAATACTTGCAAGTCTTGGATGCTGTACGTTGAGTCTTTTTTTTTCTAAAAGAGCAATCAAAAACCAAATAAAATAACAAATTTGAAAGATAAAGTTTTTGCTATAAATACATTCATTCTAAGACTTCAACTTTATAATTACTAAAATTTATTTTCTTAAAAATTTATGTTATATTTATTATTTGTAATTTATTTATAGCTGTCACATATAGTTGTAACAATGTAAGCTCTATAATTGGCTAATATAAGTCAACTGGCACTTATCGCTCAAAAATAAACATTGTTGTAAAATACATTAATAAAAACCGATAAATGCATTAATAATAAAAAAAATAATAAAAAAGTAATAAAAAAAAAATAATAAAAAAAAGGTGGCAAAAATAAAAATATAAAGATTTAATTTTACTTTAGTTTATTAATGTATTCAACATCTTTAATAAAAACCATTCATAATTTGCCTAAAAAACCAGTTTTTTTATTTTAAGTTTTAATTCCTTTAAAGATGAAGATGCTTTATAATCATTCCGGGTTAGTTTCCAAATTTTAGGTCCTAGGTACGATGGAGATTCCAATCCATATTTTGTTGTACAAATATTGGTAGAATTTGGATTTTCATATCTCAGATTTGATTCGAGAAACTTAAAGACTTCATTCCTAGATATAGGCGCAATTTGTAAGTTTACTTCGAAAATCTCCGTGACTAAAAGTTCTGTTCATCACTCATATTTATATTGGAGAGTTGTATCCCTGTTCTAAATAACCTAGCTTTAAAACAAGTTCTATACTTTCCAAGAGAACACCACCTGAAACCAGGGGTAAAAACAATAATTACTATCAACATTTCGCTATTTTCTAAAATAAAAGTTTTTTAAAAGTAAGTCATGTTTGGGTCTTAAACAAAGCGAAATTGTATAAAAAATTTTTAAATCTTCATCATTTTATTAAAAACATTAAAAAAAAATTATAATTAAAAAAATCTTGTTGAATTACTTTTTTTTGTTTTTAGTTAAAAAATATCATTTTCTGTTCAATAAAATCTAAAATAATAATTTATTTATAAAATGATTTATATTTTTCGAAATTTTAAATAATTTTGCTTGATTTGAGACAAACGATGACATTCTTTTTAAACTAAACATTGTAGGTTATTTTGAGGAAGAGCTAAAATACCGCTGTAAAGTAAAAGAGTTTCAAATAAAGATAGTCTCATAGTCTCTGTAGATAATTCTTAAAGTTATATCATGGGTTCAAGTTATGCGCTTATTTAGTTTCTTTCTGTGATATATCCATATAAATGGGTAGTATGAGAAGTTATAAATGCAGAAAGTATAAGTTTACGTTGTTTGACAGACATATATGATACGATTCTTGACCACTTATCAACTTTATTCATGGTCATGAATAGATTGACAAGTGGTCATGGTTAGGTTGTAATATATAAGTTACAACAAGAACCGCAATAACAAGGAAAACACTACCAAACGAAGTAAATACGATTTCAATTCAAGGGAAACACTTTTTATTACAAGAATTGGTTTATTTTTACTTATAGAAAATATGACATTGTAGGAGACTAAAGCATAAAAAAATTTTACCATGACTAACTTAAAACGGAAACAATACCTACAAAAAATAAACCTACAAGAATAACAAATCATTCATCTTCTTTATTTGATAACATTCTAACCAAAGATTTTTTTGATAAGCTGGTATTGGTATAAAAAAGGTATTGTTAAACAGATATCTAAGATATTCTTTTCTTTTTTTTTGAAAAAATGCAAATTTAAAATTAGTTCTCCTGAGTAAAGCAACTATATTATAACAACTTAAATTATAACAACTTAACTTATAAAAATAACTTCGAAAAACTCCTTGAAAATGCAAAAAGAAATTACTAGTCCGACTTGTTTGCAAAGCACAAACACAATTCAAAGAGTGTTTGGCAATTAACGAAAGAGATCACGGGAAAAATAGGAAAAGCACAATATCAGCAATACCAAATGTAATAAAAATTAAAAATAAATTATTTAATGAACCTAATAAAATTACTTTTGAATTTAAAATTATTTTTGCTTTAATCGGAACAAGCTTATCAAATTAAATTTCTTACATTAATGATTAATTAATTGATGAATTTATAACATCACCTAATACAACTTTTATTTTTCCAAACCTAACAAACAGAAAATTAGAAGCAGCATTTAAATCATTAAAATGAATTAAGGCAATTGAGGATTTCATCAATGGAAACGTTGTAATAGATTCTGTTGACGTTTTAAAAGGTTTACTCATTAAAATTTTTGAAGTATCTTTTGCTCAAGGATCCTTTCCAGACTCTCTAAAAGTAGTAAAAATATTTTTAAATCAGGTGACAATACCAATATTACAAATTTTCATCCTGCTTCAGTTCTTCCTGCTTTCTCGGAATTATTAGAAAGAACAATGTATATTAGAGTCTACAATTATTTTGTTGATGCTAAACTTTTATATAAAAATCAATTTGGCTTCCAGAGAAACAATTCTACTGGACACGTCATAGTCCAACTAAAACGCAGCATTTCTAATTCTTTAAAAAATTCTCATAATACACATAGAGTATTCATTGATTTGTCAAAAGCTTTTAATATTGCTGATTCTATTAAAAATATTAGAACTCTATGGCATTAAAAACATATTCCTAAGCTGGTTCAAAAGCTCTTTTAAGCTGTAAGACAACTTTATTTGTTAATCTCTCGACGATTCCAGGTAAAGCCTCACTCTTCTCCATAGTTTTCCTAACATTGTGCAGCTGCAATTTCCAATCGAAATTGTTACTTCCATATCTATCAGTAAAACAATTCTACAGAAAACAGATGTCTGTTTATTACAGCTAGGAACCATTGTAAAAAAGGTTTTGTCTTACGCCAAAGCCCGCTATTCTCAGGTCATAAAATCTCGTGTTTCATCTCAAAAATTAGGCTCTCGTGACTTCTAGAGAATCTTTAATACAATCAATAATAAGGGCAAATCTGATATTCCACCTCTCTTGTATGGTTCAGACTTTGTCACCTCACCTAAAAACAAATCTGAATTGTTTGCTAAGAACTTTTCATCAATATCATCTCTTGATTCCACTAGTTGCATTCTACCTGATACAGCCAACAAACAGGTTGATTCATAGCTTGACATTCGTATCACTCCAACTTCTGTATCTAAAGCAATTTCCTGCTTAGACTCTTCTACAACTTGTGGTCCGGAAAACATTCCTGTTATAGTCTTGCAGAAGTGTTCTCCGGAGCTGTCTTCTATACTTTCAAAACTATATAACAAGTGCTTATCAGAGTCTTATTTTCCAGCCTGCTGGAAAACGGCATCTGTTATGCCTATTTTCAAAAATTCTGGAGAGCAATCTGATTCGTCTAAATACCGTCCCATTAATCTTCTTTCTATCATAAGCAAAGTTTTTAAATCTTCAATTAACAAACACTTAATCTCTCATCTTGAATCTAATAACTTACTTTCTGATCATCAATATGGATTTTGATCTTCTCGTCCTACGGCTGGTTTGTTAACAGTAATAATCGATAGGTTTTATCGTGCATTAGATAAAGGTGGAAAGGTTAAGGCCATCGCTCTTGACATTTCCAAAGTTTTTGATAAAGTTTGGCATGCTGGTTTTCTCCATAAGCTATCTTCGCATGGTGTATCTGGTAACATTTTTAAGATTTTTAAATCCTTCTTTTCCAATCGTAGCATACAATCTTGTTCTCGTTGGACAGCACTCTTCTTCATTTTCTTTAACTTTAGGGGTTCCTTATGTTACAATCCTAAGTCCTCCACTTTTTTTAGTTTACACTAACAATCTTCCAGATATTCTCACATCGAAGGTGGCATTGTTCGCTGATGATATTACTATTTATTTTTGTCATGATATGAACTTTAATTCAGATAAAACTCAATTTTTTTCAGCCAATTGTTATCGCAATAATTTAGATCTTCCTATTTTTATGAAAGGTAATGTAATCAATGAGTCTTCTACCCTTAATCTTCTAGGATTAACTCTTACTTTCGATCTGTCTTGGAAACTGTAACCAAATCCATTGAAAATTAGCATTCGCTAATTTTGCATCTCTTTATCGAGCTCGACACTTTCATACTCCGGATTCTATTCTTTATTGCTATAAATCTCAAATCTGGCCTTGTATGGAATACTGTTGCCATATCTAGGGCAGATCTTCTAATAATAGTTGTTTTTCTTTTAGACAAGCTGCAAAAGACATTATAAAAATAGTTAGACCTACTCTTGCAACCAACCTCCAGCCATTATGACATCATCGTAATAATGCTCCTCTTTCATTTTTCTACAAATACTATAATGGGTATTGCTCTAAAGAGCTAGCGTTTCTTGTACCATCTACTAAAATTCATTCTTGTCTTACTCGTTATTCAATTAAATCCTATCCTTTTTCTGTGACTGTTCCTAAGTGTTCCAGAAATTCTTATTTGATAGTTTTTTTCCTCGAACATCTGTTCTTTGGAATTCGCTCCCTTTAACTTGTATTCCTGATTCATATAATTTGCAATCTTTCAAGTCATTTGTTAATTGTTTTCTTGCTCTACAATCTTCATCTTTTCTCTTTCAGTAACTTCCAACTCTAATAATGGTTGCTTGCAGCCTTGTTGGAAGCGAAGATGTTAAAAAAAAAGTAAGCAGTTTGTTAATATCCAAGGCTCTTCTCGGCCGGTATTAATGAATGTTACGTGTGGTGTCCCATTGGATCCATTTTTAGACCCCTATTACTTTTAATATATATAAATAACCTTAACAAAGCCTCTAACTTAACCACTATAATTTTTACTGATGACGCAAACCTATTTCAATCTCATGAAAACATAAATACATTATTTAAGAACATGATACAAAAGTTAAATAAAATCTCATATTGGTTTGAGAAAATACAAGGAGTGTTTTAGACAGTGGTTGGACAAAGCAAAGCATTGTATTTTTATGGTTTACAAAGACATTTTGTTCGGGAAAATTTAGATTTTTAAAAATGTATATGAATTTGTATACTCTTACAATATAAAAAAGCTCTCGCTTTTTAACTAAAGTTTATTTTTTTAGTTTTACAGTAATTTCAAAATTGGTCCAATCGCCTCGATTGCGGAATTAGACCTGAACTTTTTACACATACTTTTGACATTTATAAATGAATTTGTTCACTCTTACAGTTTGAAAAATCTCTTTTTCTTAACTAAAGTTAATTTTTACGGTTTTAACAGAGCTTTTCGTACTCTTGGCCCAATTTGCCCCAAAATGGGAAAGCTCTGTGTGTTTTTACATATTTTTCTTATATTTATAAATAAAAATGAATTTGTATATTCTAAAAGTTTGAAAAATCTCTTTTTTTTTTAACTAAAATTAATTTTTATTATTTGTACAGAACTTTGTTCTTGGTCCGATTATCCTTAATGGGGGAAATTAGCCCTAGGATGTTTAGGTATTTTCTTGATATTTATAAATGTAAATGAATTTGTTTACGATAACAGTTTGAAAAAACTCTAATTCTTTATTTAAAGTTAATTTTTACGGTTTTAACAAAGCTTTTATAGCTTTTGATCCGATTGCCCCAAATGGGGCAAACGAGCAGTGGAATCCTTACCTAGGGGCCCCTATTATGAGAATAATAATTTTTAGAATTGAATCCTTTGATTCTTTAGTAAAAAAGGAAACAATAAAAATAATTTAGCATGAGTACTTCAATGAAACTCGTTCTCAATGATAGCATTTAAAAATAATTTTTTTTATCAAAATTTGGTGCCATAAGTCCTTAAGGAAAACTCAACAAATTTTGTCGCAAAATAGGCGTTCTTGAGCCCAACATAAACTGTCATAACTTGGAAACCAGTTATCCAATTTTTATTTCTTTTAAATTTTAGTTCAAGTTAAAAAATGTTAATAAATTTAAACTTTAACTTAGCTAAAGATGATCCTAAAGTTTCTTAGTTGTTGCTTTTAGTAAATGCAACAAATAGTAAACTTCAAGATCATCTTTACATACTATTTATAGTATAATCAAATGAAAAATATGTATAAATATTGTGTAAATATTTTATACAATACTTATACATATTTTTATTTCAATATATTCATATGATAGATATTTTAAATAAATATGTATAACTACATATTTTTATTTGATTTGCATCTTGAAGTTGTAATCGATGAGAGTTTCAAATTATATTGAAATGATTGCATGGCAACCTTAATTATTATGGCTATAAGCAAAATGAGATATAAAATTGTAAAAAGTGATCCACAAGGTTTTGTAAGTTTTTTTAGACAATAACATATTACCACGAGGTATTATTCCATGGTATAATGAAAACCGCCTTCGTGTTTTTTTCAGTACTTCTATTATTCTGATAAAGCAAAGTGTGAACAGTAAAGTGTAAAAGTTTGGAAGCAACTCTTCGAAAAGCATTTTGTAATACAACCGCAATCAGACAAATGTTTAAGCTTGCGGTATTTTCGAAACTTTTTACTGGACCCTGGATGAAAATGTTTTATGTAACATCGGAGCATGCAAAGTTTGATCATGTTGCCGAAAATTTAAAAGTTAAAAAAAATTCTTTTTTTTATGTTAAGTTCGATGAGGAGAAGGAGGGGGGGGGGGGGAAGGGGAACACACCCTTCTCATAAATCAATGTAAAAAACTTATATATATGTAAAAACTTGTATAACAAAATTTTCTCATTGTATACTAAATTTACTTATGTTAGTAATGATAAAAATATGTGTAAAAAAAAAAACAATTTTTGATACTAGGGTGTGTTAAGTCATTACCACCATACCCACCTCTAACTCTAACATACACCTCTCATTTAGGTTAATGGTCTGGTATAAAATTATAATCGATTTTGTATTTTAAAATTTTTAATTTATCTTTAAAAACATTTTTCATGAAAAAAGTGTTCCGTTTTTTACGGATAAAATGGTGGTTTAGCGCCCATTCTGTCCAGCTTATACGCCCGGTGGTTAGAGTTTGACATAAACTTATAGCCCACTTTTACACCTATATTTTGATACCTAGGTCTTAGTTTTTTCATAAGAATTGACAAAGTTATGACAATTTAAGTGAAGAAAAACATAATTTTGAGCACAGTTTCTTTAACAAATCCACATATCGAAAAATCGGCACTTAAACCGTCATAACTTTTGACCGAATGGTTCGATTTTATATTTTTTACCATTAAAATACTGTATTGATCTTCTTTTCAATAATATATAACAGTATAGTATTCAAACAGTTTGAAATCTTTATCGAACACCTATTTTTATGCATTATACTTTTTGTATACATTATATTTACATTTTAATTAAATAGAAATTATTTTTTTGGTGTATTTTTTTCACTGAAAAACTCTATTAAAAAGATGTAGTTTTAGAATTTCATTTATTTATTACCATAATAAAAGAATTTTTTAATTTTTTTCCTAACAAATTTAAAAAGTTTAACATATATGTTTAACATGTCCCAGTAACTATAAAACATGAAATAACTATTCCATTAAAACATTTTTAACTAAAAAATGCTTTAATTCCATTAAAGCATTTTTAAAATAATCAAAATTTAGAGTTTTTGCTAGTGATAGTAATAATTGCTTTGAAGTTGCTAAAAAAGTTTGGAGTTTTGTTTCTGCTAGTGATGGTAATAACTGCTTTGAAGTTGCTAAAAAAGTTAATTTAGTCAGAGACATTCAAAAAGAGCAAACAGGCAATATTTGTGATGGATATATTTAAGTTGTCAAACAGTTTTTACAGATCCATTTTTTTCTATTAATTTTTCTATATTTTATGCAATCAAAATGATTGGTTTTAACGAAATTTACCCACTGTCAGATATAAATATCAAGTGTTTACAAATAAATGCAAAAATGGCTTTATTTTTATGCATCAACTGTATTTTTAAATCATTGATATTTTTTGACTATAATTTAAAATTAAACGCCTGTAATATCAACAATAATATGATAACATACATTTTAATAACTTATACTTATAATACTTATAAATACTTATAAGACTTAACTTATTTTTAAAATACTCATAACATTTTTATTGATATGAACTTTTGCATTCAAACTTTAATTATAAAACTTTAGTTTAACTTGATAACTTTAACATGACGAAACTAAAAGAAGAGAATATTTATAATTATAATTAGATTTATTATAACTAAGTTATAAAAAGTTAAACGCCATTTTTGTTTTCGATAACTTAATTTTAAAATTTTGGGATAAAAATATAAAGTTCTAAGTTAATAAATGCTCGAGCATTTTGTAAGTGTATTGAAGGACACAATGGTTATAACTGATGCGAGCGTTTTGTTCAGAAGGGAGAGAGGTGTGGCAAGACAATACTCCCACATATTTCATCAATTTTAAAGACTGACTTGGATTTTTTTCATTAAAATCATTCTGAATAGCATAGTGGTGTGTTAAATTGAACTAAATGTTTGTTTATTTAATTGAATCAAATTTTGAAATGGTGACAAAGTTTCCTTTAGACATGCATCTTGTATGCTTCGGTGTATGCGAATAAAAGACTCATCACCTTTGGTTAAATGGTCCAAATGTTGTAAATCATCTCAAATTATAGTCAATAATTTATCTGACTATAATCTGAGACATTGACGATTGTTTCAGATACGTTGTTACATTCCAAGAAAATTTTCTAGAAAATCAAGAAAACTTTCTAGAAAATTAATCTTTATTAGATATAAAAAAATGAACTTAGACTTTTTCTAATATATCCTGGGTCAGTAGTTTTAAAGGTGTTGATTGAGCCAAAAATCTATTCAAACTTTTTAGATCTTTTAGTTGCAGTTCTAATTTTATTATGTCTTATTTTGTTGAAAAATGTGTTGATTTTGCTTGCCAGTTACTAACTTATTCTGTCCAGTCATTTGGTGAACTTTACGGTAAGGATCAACTAGTTTACAACGTTCATTTTTAATACATATAGGAGATAATGCATTTAAATTTGAAGTACTTGATTTCCTCATTCAAATACGAAAATTTAGGTCAATTAAAAAGATTAAGGTCAATTAAAAAAGCATGTTTAACGACCGCAGGTTTGTTTAAATAAAAACGTACAAGAAGATAAATAGAAGTTTAGTATTCCTCATTTTGATGGGTCAGTCAACGTTACATTGAGACACTGTTTAAAGTTTAAAAACTAATTTTTAAATTTTAAACAGTGAGACACTTTACATTGAGACACTGTTTAAAATTTAAAAAATAATTTTTAAATTTTAAACAGTGTCTCAATGTAACGTTGACTGACCCATCAAAATGAGAAATACTAAACTTCTATTTATCTTCTTGTACGTTTTTATTTAAGCAAACCTGCGGTCGTTAAACAAGCTTTTTTAATTGACCTTAATCTTTTTAATTGACCTAAATTTTCGTATTTGAATGAGGAAATCAAGTACTTCAAATTTAACTGCATCATCTCCTATATCTGCATCATATCCTATAACTGCATCATATCCTATAAAAAATGATTTAGATTGTTTTGTTTCAGCTAATGAAGATGATAATTGTTTTAAAGTTGCAAAAAAAAAAAAGGTTTACTGAAAACAGACGAATTTTGTGGCGTAAATGTTTGAAGTATATATATATATATACATATATATATATATATATATATATATATATATATATATATATATATATATATATATATATATATATATATATATATATATATATATATATATATATATATATATACATATATATATATATATATATATATATATATATATATATATATATATATATATATATATATATATATATATATTCGAAAGGTAACACTTTAAAAAATTACTAAATGTATTTTTTAAAAGTGGTAGTAAGGGGGTAATTAAATTTTCATTTTCACAACTACCTTCACTCTCGTTTCACTCAACGTCACATTATTCTTCATTCTCAACATCATCTTGATCCCTCTTTTATTAAATTCTTCGTTTTCTTTTCGTGGTTGTAAGATTTTCGTTTACCTCCATTTAAACAATAAGGTGCATAATTCAAGCAGGAGGCTAATTATATCTGAGTTTCTTTGTCTGTTGCTTTTGTATAACAGCGCTTAATCGATTCTAGAAATCAAATGCAAAATTATTCAATTTTGGTCAAATAAAACTGTAGATTCAATAAAACAATATATAATAATAAAAAAAATGTTGATCTACATCATCTTGGTTAATTTTAAACACTTAAAACCAAAGTAATATCCTACCAATTATAGCTTGTAATATTTAATCTTTCCATAGGTAAATTCATACTTTTCCCTTTGAACCAAACAAATTGAACTTCAATTGAAGTTTGTTATCAGCCTTAAACATGTCAAAAGACAAATTTACTTCAACTGTTTTTTTTTTTATAAAATTAGTAAGCATTTTTGATTAAAGAAATATTTTTGAAACATTTATAAATAATAATCATACTATCATAATTTATCACATTTATTTGTCAACATTTTTTTTATTGTACTTATTTTTAACAAATCAAACAAAAACATTTGTCTAGATTTCAACTCTATTAATGTTATTGGAAAGAAAAAAGATTGATTTTGCCAATACATATACAGGGTGTTAAATCAGTATGCTAAAATTAGAAGTTTAAAAATATTTTATTCATAATTATGATTGTCATGTTCATGAGTAATTTAGTTACGTTTTTTTGAGCAATGTTAAGTTTTATGGATTATAAAAATTTAATCTTAGTTCTTAAAAAGTTCTTTATTTAGGTTAAAAATAACAAAGTCAATTAAAGCAGAAACAAGTAAATAAAGTAGAAGTTTATTAGAATAAACTCAAAAGTTTATCTTGTAAAAACAATATTATTACACATTTATTAATTAAAATCTTAAGTACCTTATGTTTACTTATTAAACATTTTTTTTTTAAACATCTTTGCTTTCAACAAGGCTGCAAGCAACCACTAATTAATGTTGGAAGTTACTGGAATAGAAAAGATGAAGATTATAGAGGAAGATAATAATTGGCAGACGACTTAAAAGGTTGCAAATTATATGAACTGGGAAAGCAAGATAAAGGCGAATTCCAAAGAACTAATGTTTGAGGAAAAATTCTAGACGAGTAAGAGTTTTTGGAGCTTAGGATATGAATAACAGAAAAAGGATGAGACTTAATTGAATGACGAGTAACACGAGAGTGAATTTTAGTAGATAACACAAGAGAAGCTAGCTCTTTAGAGCAGTGTTTATTATAGTATTTGTAGAAAAGAGAAAGAGAAGCAACATTACGAGTGATAATGGTTGAAGGTTGGCTATGTTTACAATGTGTTTTTGCACCTTGTCTATAAGAGAAAAAACATCATTAGAAGATCCGCCCCAGATAGGGCAACAGTATTCCATACAAGGTTGGATTTGAAATTTAAAGAGATAAGGAATAGAATCCAGAGTAAGAAGGTGCAATTTTACTTGCATCTTTTTATCGAGCTCGATAAAGAGATGCAACTTTAGCAGATGCTAATTTTCCAACGGATTTAAAATGGTTTCCAAGAAAGATCAGAAGTAAGAGTTAATCCTAGAAGATGAAGGGTAGATGACTCATCAAGTACATTACCGTTCATAAATATAGGAAGATCTAAATTATTGCGATAACGATTGGCTGAAAAAAATATATCTGAGTTAAAGTTGACCAGCCAATGTGAGCCCCATGCTGTAACAGAAGTGGGAATATCTGGAAGATCTTTAATGTAAATTAAAAAAAGTATAAGGATTGAAAATTGAGGAACACCTGAGGTCACAGAATAAGAAGAAGAGTGCTGTCCATCAAGGACAACTTTTATACTACGATTGGAAAGTAAGGATTCAATAATTTTATGTTTCATAAAAACATAAAAAGGTGACTTTAAGTTGTTAAAGTATTTTCCATTATCATTAAGTATTTTTCTTTATTATCATTATTATTAAGTATTTTTCTTTATTATCATTATTATTAAGTATTTATCTTTATTATCATTCATACCATTCATTTATCCACATATGATTCAAGCCACTAAATATTAATTTTCTGTTTTATGATACTGTTTCTAATTTTTGTTTTTATGTGTGTTCTTTCATTGTTGCTACATAAGAAAGCTCAACAAAGAAAAGGGTTTTATATAATGATTTCAAGGATAAAACTCCAGCAAGAGGCTATTAGAATAGCATTAAAACATTCGAACCGTTAAAGTCAGAGTATAGACCGCCTCAAATTGATTATAACTATATCCATTCTCTGATGAGAATCTGGTATTTACATAACACTTTAATTCGACACTTTAATTATTCATTTAACATTTTGTGCGCACCCTTAGCTTTTTTATAATATATTTTTTTAAATTTAAAATATCATTATGTTACACCGTTTTGTTTTCTCAATTTTCATAAACTCTAGTTGTTGTATTCTTTTTTGTTTATGTCAGAATTTACAATATATAACAGAATTTACAATATATAACAGGCTGTCAATTGAAAATTAGGGTGAATATTAGGATGAAAGCAGAAAAATCTATCTTAAATTTTGGCAAACATCCTTTATAACATTTTATCACAATTAAATTTAAATCAAAGTAAAACCTTTAGTTTTATTTAGACTAAATTCAAAAACAAATAAAAAACGAGCAAAATTTGATTAAAATAAAAGAATTTATAACATGTCTAATTGCCTAATTAAAAGTATTTTCGCTATTGAACTATATGTGCCCTTCTTGCTCTTACTTAGGTTAGGAGTTGTACAAAGTTCTATTTTTGTATCTCTAAAAGTTATAAATCTTTTCATTGGATGAATTAACAAAATTTCACACACAAAAATAACAATTTGTAGTTTTAAATCTGTTACTTCCGTTGTTTGGTTTAACGTCAGCTTTATTCGGCACTGCTATTCATTTAATTGTGTAAAATTTAATTACACCAATTAACTAATAAAAAGTTAACCGTAGTTATTAATAAGTCATTTAACATGTAAACAATAGCTTAACGTAGAAAAAATACTTAACGCTTAATCATTCTCATGAGACATATAAAAATATTTCAAAAGGTTTTAAAAATAAAAAAAAAACATTTTCTTTAAGATGTCAAGGCAAAATTGAATCAAGTCTTTGTCGGCGTACATTAATTAGGTGACCTAATTAACATTACGCGTTGCACCTTCTAACATCGTGTGCAATTAACCGGATAAGGATAGACCACAATACTAGATCTCAAGACAAATGTTAATGATAAAACTTATTTAAAAAAAAAATCTTAAAATGATTAAACAATTTTTTTTGTCTCTTTTTTGTTCATGAACTGCGTCGATTTTTTTCTAACTTTCGTGCATGTTTTTGAAAAAATATAAGAAAAAGTAATTTTTGGGCAGCAGCTTACCTCGTGCCTATCAAAGATCGCTAGAAATTTAAGAAAAGTTCCAAAATAGGCTTAAAATGTTGGCAGTGCTGTCAGCAAAAAGTTACAAAGCGGTTTTTAGATAAAACAGAGTTTCCTGAAGTAGCTTATCAATCAAGGGAAATTTTAATAGATTTACCAGCAAATATAGATCAATCACATAAATTTAAATTTCCGCCTCGTTCTAGAAAAATGTCTTATACCTCTGGGTATTTTACCTCTGCTAGTTTAACTATTGCCTCAGACATAATGCAGAGAATAAAAGGTCATTTAGGCAAAATAAAAAAAGATCAATACGTAGTTTACAAGAAAAAAACAGAATATTGCAGCGGTGAGTTTGTTTTTTGAGAAATTTAACAACCCAAAACAATTACTGTATTAAAAGAGCTTGCTAATATATTTGCAAAGTTAAAAAAAATTTCTTTAGATAAATATTAAGCTTAATAGAATTCCATTAGAATTTGTATTACAATTTTATTGTTATTCTAGCAACATCTAAAATGAAATTTGCAAACTTTTACTTCAAGACATAAGTAACAATATAACGCTTGCGCTATTGCAAGGATTGGGCCTGATAGGAAAAAACAACAACTTGGCCATGGACGAGTCTGGTTTATGAAAATGCAACAGGTAAGCGTAATCTTGAGTTCGTAAATTTTTGAGGGTTCTTAATAAAGTAATAAAGGAATTTGAAAATGTACTAAAACTTAATCTTTTTTTATTAGGGTTTTTCCAATTAGCAATAAGGAAATTAGCTCATTTCAAAAGTATCCAGTATCAATTCTTTATACAGATGTGGATTCACTTTATGTCATAAGCATAACCATTCACTTCGTGTAATAAAAGAAAAAAATTTTTCGGTAAAGATTTATTAGCTTTTATGATCTCCGCAGAGAAAGTTCTCAAAAGATTGATGGTAGGTATTTGATCTGCAATCTCTCAAATCCATCCTAAAAAAAATGATAAAAACCACACTATTTGCTCCACCGCATACAATGGAGGCTGAAAGAATCTTGGGCATGCTAGATTTTTTTTGCATTACACTTCTAATACTACTTTTGGTTTTTGGATTCTAAAATAAGGTCAAAGCAAACAAAACATTTACATGGCTCGATGAGGTAACATTACCAGAACAAGAAGACTTTTTTCACTTTGCAATTTGCGATGAGTTTCAACATGTCAAGCCTTTTATGAGCCAACATGTCAAAAATTTTAATAATCTTTTGTAAGAAGAAATAGAAAATAGGATAGGATGAGCCAAAGCTAATTTAAAAAAAGAAATTCTGGAGAGAAAGCAACTAGAGGAGGATGTTGAAAGAGCTCGTAATGCTAAAACCACTGATCCTCTTATTTCGTTAATACTAATGAATTATAGGAGTAATTTTGAAGCATGAAAATATAGTAGTGCAGCTCTTAAACCATAAATGAGACCTGGAGTTATTTAAAAAACGCATTATTATATTAGTTTTTAATGTCTTTTATTTTAAGTTGAAAATTTTGAATACAATTTTATTTATTCCTTTTAATTTTTAAAATTTTCTATATTAACCAAGATCAGACAACAATAAAGTCATGCGTTGCAATGCTGTACTCTTTTTATATATTTTAATTTTTTTATTTTAATTTTTTTTTTTAATTTTTGATTTAGGTGCGCTAAAAAGACCTAATGGTCTTGTAACAGAGCACCGTTGAAAATCATTCAACTAGAAAGTTCACGCCTCCATTCTTACCGATGGAGCGAAATATTCCCTGAGCTCCCTTCGAACCCTGGGTCTCTTGCTTCTTAAGCAGACGCTCCATCCACTGCGTCACGGTCACTGAACTACTAAGTTTAAAGGTCGTACAACACAGAGGATATAAAAACCTAACTCACTTTACTGTTTTAAACGTGTTTTTAGTTTAGAGTGTTTAACATACTAATTATTTACGACAAATTACTTATATCAATGTCATATTTTTTCATTAGATA